TTTTGACAGCCTAAAGTCTTTCCAGATGTATTTGATGCCATATTAATTATGGCTGATTATTGTTATTCATTTTAGTCATATTCAATAGGCCTAATATTATTACAGTGCATTAGGCCAATGAAAAACTTGTCATTCTGGGTCACGTTTTCTCTGAAAACGCACCCTTTTCTCCACTGGGTTTTTCCGCCACTGTGACTCAGCATGCAAGCCCATGGCACGTAAATTGTACCATGCTTTTAAAATGTCAGGTCTACCTGACAATTTCATGATAAAATTTGACACAGCTGTATTAACATCTCTGAAGGATCTAATGCCAAGAATACTTCAAGTATGAGATTCGTAATGTTTTACTTTATTTTGGACAGTATTGAACAGTGACCGGGTTGAACTCATGTCTGTGGACAAGAAGATTGACCTCCTCTATCTGGGCTCAATCTAAGGAATGCTTCACAAAACGAGACCCAGAGCAACAAATTTTTATTGGCCTAATGCACTGTAATAATATTGAATATGACTCAAGTGAATAACAATAATCAGCCATAATTATTAAAATGGCAACAGATATATCTGGAAAGACTTTAGGCAGCCGGAAATTCAATAGCCAGACAATATTTGAAATGACGTTAAAAGTTCAATTGTTCAAGCAAAAACCTGTATTTTATTGACAGTGTAATGTTTTTGAAAAAAGCCCGTCAAAATCATAAAATTGGAAATTTTGATAAAATATTTATTTTCCATGTTGGAAATTGTCTCTAGAATAAATCTTGAAAATTTCAATAAAAATGGTTGTTCTATTGCAAATATAGAGTAAAAAAACGACTGCATCATACAACCTGTCCGGGGTACTATCAAGACTTATCATTATATAGAATTTAATATATGGAACATATGGCATACAAGTATTCGGAGAAGAAAATTGACAAAATCAAGCGATGTATGTAGTTTAACTATGCAAATCTAGAAAACATTGTCATTTTTCGTTCACTTTGTTATCAAGTTTTAGCATGGTGCTCATTCCCTTTCATTGAAAAGTTAACCATCAGCCCACACTCCCACAAAAAAGATATTGAAACTGTATAATGCAGAGACTGCTTCTCTGCAAATATCATTTTTGTGGGAGTTTGGGCTCACCACTAAAACTTAACTTTTGTGTTGAAAATAAGCCTGACTGGTTTATGTTTTCAATATGGCTGCTAACCTGGGCATACATGTACACTACATAACTGCATGTACAGATTAGGCCATCCAAAATGGCATTCTGATGAAGAGCCTTATATTAAAAACTACAAAACCTTCATTTATTTAAAGGGGTTGTATATTATTTAAGAGTGAAAATGCAATAACACATTGTGCCAAAGCAAGTAACACACCTCTTGAGTTCAGATGACCTTGTTAATGAAGTTTATATACAAGTACATGTAGTTTTTAATCAAAATCTTGGAACTCATTTCGCTACAATATAATCCAAGATCACAATTCCCTTTGTCATTTATATACATTACAAGTAGAGAGTACATGGGGACACTTTGTTTTTTCTGAAAACATAGAATGTAGTGACATTATTATAAGAAAATCTTTGAATGGCCTAAGTGTTTTTATAAATAGGGAATGAGTAGAAATTATTTTAGGCAATCCTTTGAGTGTCATGCCATTCATACATAATGCTGCCTTATATTTCATGATATATATTGAGAGAGGATTTCTCTGAATTATTTGTGTTTCAAATATGGGAACTGCAAATTGGCAAATAACTTTAAAAGTAAGTGTACATTCAAACATTCAAATTTCAAATTCAAAAGAAAATCCATTCTTTTTGAAGTCCCCTTGTGTGCATTTAATTTCAAAGGTCAAATGTCAAAACTCTCAGAAATCACATTTTAAGTAATGAGCCATACTTCTTCTTCAATTCCATGTCAATATATACTTGTTTTGTAGGGGGTTGACATTTGACCTTGACACTGGGGTGGTTTAAAGGTCAACTTTGAGAGTTGCTATTTTTGTCCAAATTTTACTGATTCTAATCCAAGGAATGAGAGCAATTGGCTTTATTTTGATTGTGACTGATAAAAAGACATGTGAATAGAAATAAAAAAGATTTTTGATAAATTATCACAGGCAATTACCTGAAAATCTTGAGAATAAATACCGATATGGGCATTTTTAGGGGGACTGCCACCTGTCCTTTGAATCCAGAAAATCAATTTGAAAAATCAACTTTTTTGACCTTTCGAAGGTCACTGAAGGTCAACCAAAGGTCAAAGGTCAAAACTAAGGTCAGATTCGAGTTCCTGAGAACTTGTAGATGATTTTTAAAAAAAAATTTGGTCAATTTGAAGCAGGTTGAAAAATGACCAGTTTTTACCATTTTTTGACGTCAATTATCTCAAAACAGTAAAAAATTAACCTAAACATATAGTGAGTAATTTGTAGGGAATGCTTATATCTAGTTACATTTAATTCATCGCAAGAAATAATGAAGTATGAGGATGAAATCTGAGAAACTTAGAAAAAACTTTGATTTGACCTAGATTTTGACCTTTGACCTTGACCTAGATAAAAATTCCTTTTCCGGTAAGTTCAACCTAGGTCCCTAGTAGGTTCATATAGTAGATAGATGAAATCTAGTTAGAAGTAGGAGAAAAAGTGCAGAGAAGAATAAATAATAATAATAAATAATATCTATAAAATCTATAGGAGCCCCCCCGTTGGGGCCTCCTAATAAAGAATAAATAGTATCTATAAAATCTATAGGAGGCCCCCCGATGGGGCCTCCTAATAATATCTATAAAATCTATAGTCGGGGCCTCCTAATAATTACTCTACCATTTCAGATCAGTATAGTTTAGATTGAGCAAACAATGTCCTCTTAGATGCTCATCAAAAGTTTTGTGGTATATTGAATGCTCTTACTATGCTAATACGTCACTTCCGCTGAATAGAAAAAAGTAGTTTTAAAAAATGAATGTAGTCCCAACACAATTGTAATCATGACGAGTCAGTTAGCTAGTATGTAGGTACAGTTGTCATCTTTTTGCAATGACAACATGCCATAGAAAATGTGTTTATTTGGGTTATTGACATTCAATTATATTCAACACTTCATCTAAAAGTATCAAATAAATTAAGATCTCTTTATGAAAACCGATGGCTTGCTCTAATCAAGGATCACTCAATAAACCCATGCCTGAGAACATATTCTTTATTCAAAGTTGAATTCAAAAAAGAGCCTTTCCTTATGATAAAAAATAGTAAACTAAGAAACATATTATGCAAAATAAGGCTAAGTAACCACAAACTAGAAATTGAAATAGGTAGACACAAAAAGAAAAATGGTCAAAAAATACAGCTAAAAGATAGACTCTGTTTAAATTGTAACCTAAATCAAATTGAAGATGAATTGCATTTTATATTTTACTGCCCTTCTTATACAAACCAGAGAGCAATATTCTTCAAAACACTGGCTGAACATATTCCTATTAGCAACTTAATGCCTGAATTTTTAATAAAGGAGATTATGAACAGTAAAATTAAAATATTAAAATCTCTTGCCAAATTCCTCATGGATTGCGACAATTTAAGAACATCAATATCTTGTAAATTTTTGTTAGTTCAATGTTTTTATATAGTTTGTATCATAGAATGTATATTATGTAGCAACCTTTTGTTAGTCGAGTCTTATTGAAAACATGTTTTCAGTCTAGAATCATGATGTAATGATTTTTTCTACTTTTTATATTTCACTTATGACTTTGTATATTTGTATATAAAACACATGTAAATAACTGTATAGTGACCCATGTGTCAGAGAGACTGACATATGTCAATAAAAGAATATATATATCTGAAGGAAAATTTCAAGATGGCCTTATATGGAATGAAACATCCTCTGATATCAAAACCTCAAAAAGCATTTCTATTCTCAAAAGGTCATTTAAAGATTATAACTGCAATCTATACTTGGATGAGTAGTTCCTTGAACTACTGAACAATCTAATCAGATGTTATAATCTCATACCATTTAATAATATAATATTGAAATTATATATTCTCTTACTCTACACATGTTTATTGCTTGCACCTGTTATTGTAGAAGAGACCTTTAATCATTTCCATTAAATCAGTTTATTTTCTCAAGTATGTGCAATATCATACTTTACACAATTCCATGAACCTTTCTTATAATATATCACAAATCATTGTAAATACCATTATGTGGCACCTAATACTCCCTTTACCCTACTATCACACCGTACTTAGAACCGGTTGGGGTCTATTTACAAACTACATAGAAGGTACTCGAACGGGTAGGTCCTCTAGATTGACACCAAGCAAGTTGCCACGTTCTTCAAAACTGGTTTTAAACTGTGTGGGAACGGAATGAACGTAGCTACAATGTTCTACTGTCTGTTTACGAACTTCATGGACTTTCCCGGATGGGGAATGTGATTTAAAATTTTGAATCGATTCAAAATTCGATGGCGACCATACCGTTCTGTAATCAGGTCATGATGACCTTCTAGACTAATGGATGCATTATATGATGTTGCACACCGACGTGGTGCGACCTGAACGAACTGCGAATGAGATGGACGTATTGAAGACTGTTTATGAACGAAGTAGCTAATCATTTTAGACATATTTCCCGACCACAGCCAGATTGAGCCCGTTTTACGACGTTTTCGTAGGACTGGCAAGAACGGGTAAGAACTAGTTTGGTGTGATAGGGGGATTAGGAGTCATAGCCACTACAACCTGTAAATATGTTAAATTAATTTTAATAAAAAAAAATTAATGTTAGAGCTAAATTCCAGTATTATATGTGCCTGCTCTTGGAAAATCAAATTTTGTATGTTGGAAAATTTGAAATAGAAATAACGCTTTGTGAACAAAAAGAAAAATGTAATTATTCAAAATATGTAGCTTTCTTATGAAGAAACTATCAGAATCTAGAACATCAAGTCCTTTATCATAAATAAAACCAAATAAAAATTTTAACAAACCTTAATAAAGTTGACCGTGAGTGCTATGAGTGTATCAAATGTGTCCCATTGTTCAAAGCAGAAGGCCAGCTTCACCACCTTGACCACAGCTGACAGTGGAACACCATCTTCTCCTGTAAATCAGTTTTCAGCGAAACATTTTAGATGGGACACATTCATATTGTATGATGCAGTTTATAATATTGTAATATATTGTAATTTGAACATTTGAACAAAAGAAATTGTTATGAACAAAGAAAATACATATTCCATTTAAATTAATATCAACTGTTTTATTTTACTTATTGGGTCTCAATTTCATTTGCTTTTCAATTTTATGCATTTTGATGTTTTGTTGTCTTGTGTTTACATCATAATTTTCCCAATTCAACAAATCTTAAAGCTAACCTGCTGTTGCCATTTCTATAAGAGACTTATCAACCACAACACCATTTGTACTAGGAGCAGTGGGGGTGTTGACCATCTTTCCTGGTTTCTCTTGGGGGTGGGGAACAACAGGTGCACCTCCCCCACCTGCAAATATACAACAAATCAAATTATTTATCAGGGCTAATAATATTAATAAAACCTTGGAGGGTTTATGGAAATGACAAAGAACAACCCTGCCTTTGGAAAAGTCAAAATATAACATTTTCTTCAACACAAAACAAAAACATGTGGCTATGTTTTTATGTAATCACATTGTAAATCAACGACAACAAGGCAAAGGGTGGCCAATATAGTATTTTAATTCAAAGGATGACTGCCTTCAAATTTATATACATAGCATTTTCAATAACTAATCAGTTGTTTTCTGAATTTCAATTTAAACTTTTCTCCCGATATTTAAATAAATTATGATTTTTGTATAATTTGGAACCATCAATCATTTTTTAGTTACAGTCCAAGTATTGTTCTTGAAACAGACTGGTGCTCAACTGTCATCAAATCCTGTGGAAAATACATCAATATTTTGACCTGGCCCCTAAACTCAATCAAAAGAATTAAGATATAACTCAAACATTCAAGGGGATGCAAGTTGTTTGAGAATGAATCGGGGGAGTTTTTTCATGCATTTCACTAATATAAAATTATTTAATGCTGACACCTTCCTTAATCCCAAGAATTTTCTCTTGGAGGAATTTCCCATAGTAATCCAATGGTATGGTTTCAAGCAGATTTTGAGATAACAGGAAAGTACACTCCTTATTGGGTTGTGATATAAACAAAAAAGGGATTAAGGAAGGTTTCAGTATTAAATAATTTAAGAAATTATTGGCATATATGAAACCTATTTAAAACACCTTTTATATTATTCAAAAGCATTGATTATCAATGATTCCCAGCCCTCTGAAGTTTGAAAAATGAAAATACTTGGGTGTTAATCCATAGATAATCCTTGGATCATATGGTGCAATCTTATAGTGAATAAAATGTTTCAAAGTGTACTGATGTTTTTCAGATGAAAAACATTAGCGAAATGCATAAAAAACTCCTCTGATTCATTCTACAAACAACTCACAGCCCTTTGTTTTAGACCTTCCATTCTAGATAACCGATCAAATGGGGAGAACATATATCAGTAGCAACAAGCATATAATAGTTAATAAATATATGGAAGAGCCAAGCTTTCATTTCTTTAAATATGGGTTTCAATTTATGAAAATGATATAAGAATATAGAAATTAGTCATGTACAATAAGGTCACTGAATTGCCTTTGATCAAGTGCCAATTCGCGTTGGATACCTGAAAGATATACCCTACTTTTAAAATGAAAACAAATCTCTTGTCTTTTAAATTATGGCATACTGTATTTAACAACCACTTCATATTCAAAACCAAAGTTCTTCTGATTTTAAAAGCAAAACAAATCTTTTAAATTATGACCAACCACTTAATATCCTCATCTTTAAATTATAACAAACTGTATTTACAACCACTTATTCAAAATCAGACTTCTTCTGATTTAAAAAAGTACTAATCTAATGTAAATCAAAACGAATCTTATAATATTCACAATAAATACCCCAATAACAATGCTCTCTTTTCCAATTTTTTAAAGTATATCTGACCAACACTAGACCTATTTTTCCAATAAAAGGTGATTTGATTAATTAAATTTGAATGTAGATTACTGGATTTTCTTGACATGATGATCTGTGCATTCAAATAAAAGTAAGGTCTAATAAAATAAAACGAATGTTCCCCTATATATTATAACCACCTATGGGTGTTATTCTGAAAATATACATGTAGTATCATGTTTGTTAAGTTTGCCACTCTTGAGTATTAGATGTTTCCGTTTAAAATATATGTGGGTGAGAGTGATAAATGCTCTTGAGGTTGAATTTCAAGAAATACCAAAGTTAATATGATTAGTGTGATCAGACACTAAGGTATTAGCTGGCATCTTGTCAAGAACATAAGACTTTACACTGACTCATTGTCTCAATAACATGTCATAAAACAGTCATAGCACTTCAAAAGTACATTCTTTTCATTAAAACGAAACCAAATGTTGACCTTTTAATCTTTCAAGAAATGACACAAATCACAAGGTTTTATTTACCCAGTCATCTTGATTTTTCACAATAGGTACTTAAATATTTCAAAATGAAAAAAACAACATTCTTATCTTTAATATTACAAAACACAAATCACCTGATATTATTTCCTGAGCTGCCAAAAACAACTCAGCATAGACATCCAATATTTCAATCTCAGAATCGGCAGCAGGGGGTGAGGTAAGCAGGGTGCGTCTATTGCTATCTGAGAGTGTCTCCAAGATACATAGGAACTGAGCAGCACTCCCTTCGAACATATCAACCAGTAGTTTCTCACTAGGAGTCCTGGGCCAGGGCATCTAAAGAATGAATTTTGTTTATTTGAAATATAATTTTAGCACGCTTAATTTGTTTACAACACATTTTCTATTAAATTGGAATAATTTATTATTCTTCTGCATTTAAGTAAAGTGGATAAATATACATGTTCCAAAAGTTACAGGACTGGTCCAGGTATTTTGTTAATAAATATGCACAAATTGTCTTCAAAATTCTATATAATCTACTTTCAAGTGTCGTTACTAAAACTGCCAAGTTTCTCCAAAAATTATGAAACTAGTGGTAGAGTTATGGTTGTTATGGTGATATGACATAACAATACCTGGGCAACATTCCAAGCAGAAAGTTACAGAGGCTTAGGGGATTTTGTACATCCCATATGTCAAAGTTGAAATGCAACAACTGATGGGAATTACATTTGTATTACATCATTTTATATCCTTATGTGTCCTCTACTTTGAGAAGTAGGCTCCTCTTTGGTCAGTACAAGACTTAGTCTACTACGTTGGATCCATGACTCAAACACATGAACGAACCCATTTTAGGACACATCACGAAGGGTCGATTGGACAACTTGGAAAAGGTCATTATCTATAAAGGTCCTACCGCGCTGATTAGCATTCAGTTTTCCAAACAAATAAAAAATTAGATATTGCAGATCAGAAAATTATGGTGCATGGTCTTAGACCTCAAGACCAGGCTCCTCTATAGCTGCACTGATTTTTAATGCTGACTTGTGGACAGGCACGTTATCAAGGTGAATGATTGGCTTCAAATTAGGTCTTTTCAAAGACTCAACCGTGAATTACGCAGACTGTTACAGTGATATTCCAGGAAATTGAATAAATATTATCAATATGAAATCACACTTAAATCTGAGTTGCAAAGCAACACCATCACAACAAAGCGAATAATAATACAAACAAAAAATGTTATATTGTTATACCGGTAAGCGAATTGGATACTGTCTTTAGTAATTCAAAAATGTTAGATATCACATTTTCATGGAAAGTTGCCCAGGGTATTGTGATGTCATGTTTCTATTGTAACCATAACTCTACCCGCATTTTATTATTACTTTACAGAAATAGTTGCAATATTTCAAAGTACATTTTGTGAAAACTTGAAGACACTTGGTGCAGAATCGACAAAATGTCAGCACAGGTCCTGTTACTTTTGGAACACCCTATATATTGTTGCTAAATGGTGTCTTACACTACACATTTTATATGTGTTCGTCATTGTTTATTACTGCTTGAAATCTTTGATTAATTGGACAAGTAAACAAGATTAAGTACCTCTAAATCACTAAAATTATAAAATAAAATTATAAAAAAGCAGTCAAAAAACAATAATCAAACAATGGTGATAATAAAGACATCAAGTTGTCTAACTCTGAAGTAGCGTCAAATCATAAAGAATAAACAATGAGAATTCAAATGTCTTTTGAAGATTTAAAGTATTCAATATTTTATAGCTTTTTATCAGAAGGGGGGATGTTGTTATTCTTAGAAAGGAGTCAAAAACATAATAAATCAACAAAGCAAACTTGTCAAACTAATAGTGTCATGTCACGGTCACCATATAAAAAGAAACCAAATGTCAACATGTTTCATGACATTGTACCAAAATCATTGATTTGATAGGTGACACAACTATCATAACAGTAAATAATTCTCCATTATGAAGATATTACAATGATTTAAAGTGATAATAAAATTGCCTGTTTAAGATATTTTGGAATTTAAATTGTGAAATTTCAATTTTTCTACATTAACATTGATTTTAATTTTCTACATCAACTACTCCCGGAGTTCTTTCATTTTGGATTTTGGATACAGGAAACAAATAATACCTTGTTGACAAGATGAGAGATTATATTGAGGGGAGTGGAAGTTTGAATGCGAGGGAACTTATGGAAGTTCTATGACCATAATATTGTCTCATTTAGACAAAATGGGTTACAGTACTTACATATTGTGCATCTTTGAGATTAGCCCTTGTCTTTGGTCTCAGTAGGCCCTTTGGTTTCTTCCTAGTCTCAAACACAGTTCTCTTGTACACCATAACTGCCATCTATACATACATCAATGATATTTAGACATCAAATTGCAGTTCATAAATGTTCAATATATTACTTGTTCAGACCTAACAAGAGAATTTTCAGAGAAAGAAACATAGATATATTTGTAATTTAATCGTATGTAGTAAATAGAACTTTCTAGTGTTTTATACCTTGATGGTAGCCTGACGGAAGATGTGTTCAGTCTGAGATATGTCCTCAGCTGAACTCATGCCCTCTAGCTCACTTAGCTCCTTGATCTTGGCTAGAGCTCTGCGAGCAAAACCCTGTAAAAGAGTGAACCATATAAGACTTGATATAAGTATACAATAGCAGACTAAAAACTACAAATCTTGGGCATAAACAAAACACTTTAGTAGAATGAGTATTCTGATAAAATGGCCTGAACATCATTGATAAACAGATCCAGAACTTTTTCATTCTTCTAATTTTCTGTAGAGAATGCATTTTAAAAATCCTTTGAACTTTGAACTTCACTAAAAAATAAGTTTATGAGTTGATTTGTTGATTTGTCATTACAATTTATAATTGTTTATTCTCATTTCATGATCATGGGGAGTACAATGCAAGTTGATTGTAACCAACTTTTGATTTGCTCGAACACATACAATATTGATTCACATGTCTTTGCATGTAGATGGACATAAACATATTCCTACCTCTGCCTGCTGTGTGGCCTTGCAGTCATAGTAAGCCTGACATACTGCAGTGTAGAGGGTTGACCTCCATGTTAGATACTTTACTTGCAGTAAGGGAACAGAACCCTCCATGCACATACAGGCCCAGAGTAGGTACTCCAACACCCTTGCTGAGTGGCCAAGACACATCAGATGTCTTGATACACTGTAGATGTGGATGGTGCCTAGAATGTAAATATTATAATAAATATATCATGGCATTCACACAATGTACCTGTAGGTGTATTAAATAAGTTTTCAAAAATGTCACAATCTTACATTTTCATCATTCTATGTTCATATTACACATCTTGTAGAATACAAATTCAAACAGGCCCATAACCAGCTTTTGCCAAGGGGGTTCACTTATGACAACTTTGGCCAAAAATCACTTGAAAAGTGCTCACAATGGTGAAATACTACATGATTTTGAAAGAATTTTTTAAATATTTCACTTGAACCCCCTGAACTACAGCCCTGTCACACTAAACACATACCATTGTAAACGAGCCAGGATAGTGATTCTTTAGGCAGGATGACCTGAGTCACAAGACGTAGAAACGAGAGCAGGCGGATACACTTGTCAACACTCTCGGTGTTCTGGAGCTTAGGGTCACCCATTTTCACTGTTTGGTATCGGCAACTACTGAGTCCCATTAATGCTCGAAACTGGAACAAATAAACTGGTGTGTACTCACATGAGCTTTCACATTTATATAAAGATGGCAGAGCAGTGAAGTGGTTTTTATTTATAACAAGGAGGATTGCCTCCCAGAATGCAATCTGGATATAATTTCGCTTTGTTCAGTATACATACTAAGCCCAAGGTATTAAACAAACCATTGAATGATGCTGTGATTAACTAAGCAATTCAAAACTATACAGTCACCATTTTTTTCACTTCAGATTTTGAATCTCTGAAAATTGTTGGAAAATATCAGGATTACATTCTGGGCCCATGGGCCATGGAGCCAATCCTCATAGAAAAATATAAACAAACAACTCCACTGCCATCTTTAAATTCACTGAGATTTTTATATCTTAAAACTTTGTTTCATTTCTATAACTGTGTTTGGTTGAATTTACAGTGATTTGCAGATCTGTAGTGTTTTTAATGTCATATCAAATGAACAGAACATTCATATTAAGGGACATACAGAATAATAATTGTTAGTTTAGACATAATATTAAAAAGACTTACAGTAAATCCAGCATTTTCGGAATCAAAGCCATCTGGGAAGAATACAGATTTGAATGTGTTCACATCAGTGATGGCTTCAACATTTATGTCTCCAAAATGTTTCAGATACCTCCCATAGCATTGGAACAACGCAAGGTTGTATTCCTGCAATGCAAAAAATGCAACATAACTTTTATATGTGCAGTACGCAAATTTGAATGTTAAGAGTCATGTTTATTTGTGTAATGATTTTGTTAAGAAAAAAATGTAAAATGTCTAGAGGGTAAACCCAATTCTTATTAAAATCGAAACTGACATTAATTTCACAGTTTTCAACTCATGACTGGCATTTAATAAGTGCTTTAATAAGAGTAAAAAAACTATGTGTACAAAGAAACTAAAATATTCAATGAAGAACAGACTAGCAGTCTGTAAGGAGAGGTATGAATCTTCTCTGACCAAAAAATAGAGTACAATTGAATCTATCTGTCCACAGAGCAAATGAACATGAATGAATTTCTGTAATATCTCATTTTTCGAAGAATTCAATTAATCTGCGAAATTCTAACATTACCTTGACAGAGACAAGGAAGTCTCCCATCTCTAGGAGTTTCTTCTCATAGTAGATCTGTGGTAGCCTAGGTTGGTACTTGTTCCACAGTTCAAACAAGATGTCAGCTCTAAAAAGACATTGACATGCTGTTGATTTTTAAACTCCTACTACTGGTAAAAAAAGATGTCCTAGATGTCATACTATTCATTAATGAACAGAGGTATAGAATTCTTGTAAATATTGTTTTGATAGGACAACAGGTATCATTGGAATCATGACAGCTGGTAAAATGAATGGAAAAAAATGGCAAAAATAATGGCCAGTCATAACTTTAACATGGACATTAAGGACATTTAGGACAACAGGAAATTTTGGTATAACAATCAAAGAAAAAGACATGTGCTTACTGATCGAGACACGTTTAGAATGCATAATTTTCAAGACCAATCCCTGTACGTACTATGCAGTGATGACTGCACAGTGCACAATTGTACTTACCCCCTTGAAGAGGCCTCATCTTTGCTAGGCTTATAGCCAGGAGCTGTACGTTTCCTCATGTAGGCCACATAGACATTGATCTCCTGCTCTAGGGTCTGTAGCACTGGGTTAGGCTTAGACTTATCCGTGGCATAGAATGAACTAGGAGGACCTTTGTTCGTCCCAACAGCTGCACTCTTCAGCATGGCAGCCATACTGAAGATTTTTTCCTTATTCGTTTGTTACAGATTTGTAGCTTTAGATGTAACTTAGCATCTTCTCATTTTCTGTAAAGATACAGTAAAGCCATATGCTGTTATTAAAAATGGTAAAGAACAAAATGTTCACAAATAAGTACACCCCAATATACATATGCATGCATTTACGCAAAATAGATCATAAGGTTCTGTAGATCGGTCAGATCTATAGAACAATTAGTTAAAACCATCACACAAATTATTTCAAGCTTTTACGGTCATTTGTAAATTCACCAGAAATGATGCAGGGACCCTGGAGTGCCCTATTCTTATGCAAAATGGTATAGATTTACTTGAGTCTCTAGCTTACAACTAGATGTAGCTTCATTGATTTCGTATGTACTCTACAAACTGAAACACACTGAAACTGAATGGGATGGGAAGGCTTTATTTACGAAACTCGTACTGATGCAGCATCAGTTGCAGTCTTTTGAAAATACGAAAATAAAGGGCGACATTAAAAAACTTCAGGGACAAGTCTGTAAATGTACATGTACGTGTTCCAAGTCCACTACGAACGAGGTCAGGTTGACAAAGACTAAGGAGCCTAATCCACCTAATACCACGTCTAGCAGCAAAGCGACTACTCATGTTTCTAACACTGATACCCACTGTGTGAGTGGTGCTAATAATGACAAATATAATGGGACTAATAAACCGATGCAAAACACAAACACGGCGTTTAGGTCTAACTCACTACCAGATGTAATGAGCTCCGTCCAGCCAAAGCCCTTCATGCACTTAGTCACAGCAACCAATACAAAAGATGTAAACAAACCCCACATATTGAACCATAACAACGAAGGAACACGCATTGAGGCCCGTGCCTCCACTCAACCGCCTCCCCCACCTACCCTTTCATACTCTCAGGTGACAAAGACATCTAGGCCTGTCGAGCGACACGATATGAGACCAACTCGTGATGTTCCTAGCAGACAGTCAAGCCTCAAGGGCATCAAACACGAACGGTATCGTTGGTTGTACCTCGAAAACATTGCACAATCTGAGTACGACGACGACGATGCAACTATACATCAGATCCAGTCACATGCGCATATTACTGGAATCCGAATTATGAAACTTAATGTGATACATAACCGATTTGCAATCGACAGAGTCGGGTGCAAAATTGCAGTCTCGGAGTCATCGGCGGATAAGGCTTTGGAACCAGTATCTTGGCCATACCCGGTGACATGCAGGGAATGGGAGCAACGTCCTCGACGAAACGATATACCAAGATACCGATCCCAGCGACGCAACAACTATTATGATAATGACAATTATGGCGACGACAACGACAACTATTAGTCATCATGTTATTCACAAATATCATACTCGTTTGTCTATATGTTATCGCAGTAACAGTGTTAATACCGCATAACATGATGAATCTTAGGCTTGCACAATGGAACCTAAATGGTGCAAACACGGCAAAACATGCACTTAAAGATCTACTAAATGAAAATGACATAGTTGCAGTTAGTGAGCATATGTTATACGATTGCAATATTAACCAATTAAATGTCAATGAAAATGATTTTTGCATGTATGCAATTAGTAGCAAGCACATAGATAACGCTGACTGTGGTCTAAAGTTTGGTTCAGGTGGTGTCGCAATGTTTTGGCGTAAAACCTTAGCAAAACAGGTATACCCTCTAAAAGCCTTATCAAATGATAGAATGATTTGTGTTAAATTATGTATGCATGATAATTCTCGCCCATTGTATATCTTCTCAGTATCTCCCACAACAGCAGTGTAAAAAGGACAATTTTGAGGACGTGCTACTTGAGCTCGAAAATAATGTTAATCAGGTATCATGTGAAGGGGATGTTGTACTATTGGGGGACATGAATGCCCATCTGCCGTATAATATCCATAACGGTAGTCGTAGTTGGGGCAGCGGTACCCCTAATGGTAGAATATTTCAAGAGTTTATTTTACGCAACGGTTTAATTGTAGCAGACCTACTAGAATTTTGCGACGGCCCTAATTACACGTTTGAATCAGCCTGTGGTCACAAATCCTACATAGATCATGTTATTGTGTCCAACACACTAGTGGCTCACATTTATAAATGCACTATTCTAAATACTTGTGCAAATTACGGCGCATCTTCAGATCACCTCCCTGTTATTACCGTCCTCAAAATAGAAAAAAGTACATGTGACACAGAAGTGGAATCTTCAGTAAAATCTTCATGTTTCAAACGTGTAGCGTGGGACAAAGCCACGTGGGAAATGAAAAATAATTATGCTGATATGTGTACATCAATGGTTCAATACGTGCAGAGTGAGTTTCAAAAGAAAGGTGATAAGTTATCAAATGCCGAAATAGATCAGTTTTTAAATGTAATAATATCAATTCTACATCAAGCAGCCGAAGTAATATTTCCAATTAAACAATTTAAGAAGCATCAAAAGCCATTCTGGGCCCCACACTTAACAGTTTTGGTAAAAGAGCGTAATAGATTATGGCATCAGTGGCGCAATACGGGTAAACCAAGGTCGGGTGACATTTTTCAACAATACAAACTCGCTAAAAAGGTGTTCTCAAAAGCATATTACATGGCAGAAATGGAATACGAGCGAGCTGAAATGGCTAAATTACGTATACGAATCAGAGTGTGTTGACCAACAATTTTTTTGGCACCTACTTCGACGTAGTAGAGGGCAACAGTCAAGGCCTAGTTCATCAGTTCGCAATAAAGATGGCATCATCGTCACTGAAGCACAACAGGTTCGCGAAGTTTGGCGCAATCATTTCAAAACATTGGCTTCTCCCGGGGATGACCCCCTATTTGATGATAAATTTAAGGATCAAGTTGATCGAGAAGTCAATGACTAATACTTCATACTTCTCATCTTAATAATAATGATTTTCTCGAAAATGACATTTCAATGGAGGAGATAAGTTCAGCATTATCAAAAATGAAGCCTGGAAAAGCCAGTGGGCCGGACGGAATAACGGTCGAGCATATACGTTTTGCCGGGGATCCAATTCTGGAGATTCTGCTATGTCTATTTCAAAGTGTGATAAATAACGAGTATACACCCTTAACCTTTCGTACCGGTACTCTCATCCCCCTCTTAAAAGGAGGTGTGCGGGACGTACTTGACACTAACCATCACAGGGGTATAACACTCATGTCAGTCATACGGAAATTATACGACAAAATCATATTAGGAAGATACAGTTGGCGTTTAAAGTCGATTATACATCCTCTACAAGGAGGTTGTCTTGATGGGTGCTCCTCGCTACACTCATCACTACTTCTGCATGAGACAATTGGATTTAATACCCATCATGACAGTACCGTTCACGAGGTGTTATTAGACATAAAATCTGCCTTTGATACGTGCTGGATAAACGGCCTGTTTTACAAACTGTACCATAAGGCCGGGATTAAAGGGAAACTCTGGCGATTGTTATATGACTCGTACAAGAACTTTGAATGTAATATCCTGGTAGCAGGGGGGGTATCCGAACCCTTCCCGGTGCTCCAAGGGGTATTTCAAGGAGCCGTCAGCAGTATGCTGCTCTATCAATTTTACATAAGTGACTTGTTGGACGACCTTGAAAAATTAAATCTTGGAGCAAAAACCATGGGAATCAACACAGGCTCTATAGCATACGCAGATGACATTGCTCTCATTGCTATCTTCCCTAATGCAATGAACACTATGCTGCAATTAGCTTATGCTCACAGCAACAAATGGCGATACACTTTACACCCTGGGAAATGTGTAGCCCTGACCTATGGCAAAAATACTGAGGTCCCACAGTTCAGGTTAGGCACGGGCGAAATACCAAATGCCAAATCTGCCAAGCATGTCGGAATTCCACTGTCGACAGATGGAGTATTTAGGGACCATGTTAAAGACGCTATATCAAGCGGAAAGCGAAAACTATATTCACTATTCGGATTAGGTCATAGAACTGGTGGCCTTACCCCACTCGTAGCATCAAAACTGTATAATAGCTTTAGCATGCCAAAAATGCTCTATGGTGACCAGATAATTAATTATAAGCCTGAAGATCTTGAAACACTCGAAGTGGCACAGCGCCAAATTGGGAGAAGATTACAAAGTCTTCCTAAATCCGCCAGCAACCCCTCGTCAACCATGACACTGGGATGGAACACAATGAAGCGAAGAATTGACTATGATATGCTACTTATGTTATTTGGAATGCTTATTTTACCACTTTCGAATATTTATAAACGTTTATTAATGTTAAGACTCATGAATATAACACTAGGATTGGCATCATGGGATTCCCCAATTTCCAGAATGTGGTCTTGTGTAGTAAAATATGACCTCACAGAGAGCTTACTAGAAATGATACGTACAGCACAATTTCCTTCTAAACTTCATTGGAAGAGACTGATTAAAAACACAATCGGTAATTACCAGAGAAACGGTTACAAGGCAACATGTTCGTTATATAGACGCCATGATATATGTGTTAACATTTCCGATGTAAATATACGTGTCGGATCCCTTGGATCTATGAAACCCTGCGTCTGGTGGATCTTGGCAAGGAAAAAACCACAATATACCCCGCAGTGTAAAACAATGATGAGACTTTAAGCCACTGATTGTCACGATCTACGCGTAAAAAATTCAGGTGTAAATAGTATTTGTATTGTCTGTAACAGGTTCGAAACAGAAACAATTGATCACTTTATCATGAGATGTCCAAAATGGCAAGAACATCGTAACCAAATAGGTTTAATTACAAGAAAATACGGTGCTTTTAAAGAACTAGATAAGATATTTGCATATCCCGAGTGTGAAATTGATGACGATGATATGATAAGTATTGCATGTATAGTGCATAAAATGACTATTGTTAGATCAAACATTCTGAAAGAATACGTTGGACAGTTGATTATTACATAATAAAGACACTCTTGAAAGAACCAATGTCCTATAAAACATAAACAGTATTCATCCATTTAAAATAGAAGCTTTTTATTTAATTGTGTGATGTTACCAAATGTAAATATGTTTGTAAAACCACTCTGTTTAAATACAGGTAAATAAATAATTAAATTAAATCTAGAAAAAGTGCTACACACAACTAGAACTCATATTAATAAGAATATTAATTATATTTAGGATGAAGCGTTGCTTGTCTGGATTTAGATATTTCAAAATTTCTTTTCGGACTTTGCCACATGGTGAAATTTTCTCGCTGTAGCTTAAAAATTGCTTCAAGTTCCGGACGTGAATGAATGGAGGAAACTTTGAAATTATTCTCGCTTAAAGAAATCAAATATAACAATAGATTCAGACAGACTCTGTCAGAGATGTGTGCTGATGTTTTTCAAATCTATACATAGAGGTATATTTCATATTATTATGCCGTATTTACTGTGCGTGTGACACAATGATTTACAATATTTACAATACCAAGGCAGCTCAATCTTTCTACTCAAAGCCAGAATATAGAGAAGTTATCCCGTTCCCGGACTATGGTCCTGTGAACATCTCAATCTTTTGCCTGTGCGATTCAACATGGGAGAATTTTTTACTGATCTTACACTTCAGATACCTACTTCAATAGATTCCTTGGTAATTTAGCATTCTTTTCGTGTAGTTGAATCCACAATTGTCTGGGTTTATCGGCAGAACGAAGACATTTTCGTTTTTGATCGCAATATTTGCGTGTAACATTTAACTTATTTCAACCGTCAAATTCCTCCATATTGGTACTTCCGGGCTACATCCGGGACAGCCAAACAGGGGATTCCCCTTTTAAATCCAACCGCCATTTTGAAAAGTGATGGAATCTCTCTCGATGAAAAAGAGAAAATGTTCCCGTTCTGCCGATATACCCAGACAATCGGCGGTTCCAATATATTAGAAGTTACATCTTGAGTTCTATAATGCATTGAGGTAGGTATCTTAAGTGTAAGGGGCGTAGATAATTCTCCCAAGTTGTAATCGTACAGGCAAATGAATGCGCTCAGTGCAGGACTATAGTCCGGGAACGGGATAATAGAGAAGGCTTTGGGCCAAAGTAAGTATACAGTTGGGGACAAAAATAAATGACAGGTAGATTTTCGATCACCATTTCCTAATTATGGTGGTCTGAAAGCCCATAATTTCCAATATTGTCTAGATACATATCCCTTAAAATTTGTATATTTTACATTTTGTATAATCTCATCCACTGATTTATGGTCTCTTGTAAATTCTCTTATTTTTAACATGGGAAATCCTCACTTCAGCAAATCCACCTGTCATTTATTTATGTCCCCAACTGTAGATGGAGCTATCCAGACCTGAGAACTCACATTCTAGAAAGAGATATACAGAGATACCAGTCCATTTCCGTAAGCTCATAGCATAGATAACCAATGTATGACTGAGTAACACAAAGAGACAAAATGTTTTTTTACCCAGAAAACGATCGTTTAGTGTTAGGATATCCAGGTTGCTATGCTAAAAATTTAAGAAATTTTGAAAAATGTGCGGCTTTCCCAAATGACAAAAAACAAGATAATAACGTCATCAATTCAGCTCATAACATCCCAATGCAATCTTTCAGTATACTGCATTACTATTTTCACATCAAAACTACATAATTCACTCAAATTGTACTTACATTTTGTAAAATAAAGTAGCGGAAAAAATGTTTACATTTTTTCGATTTGTGTAACAAAGCTAGCAACCTTAAACCGCAGTTTAGTATTTAATCTTGAAATTACACTAGGCGAAACGAGTTAATGTTAGAAACGGAGTACCAATAACCGGGAACCGTTTATGCAAAGATACCGTAAAACCAAAACCTGTCTCATTCCAACACCTCTGTGACGGGACAAACGTGTTCGGATTAGCAGGTGTTCACATTTCAAGCTTTTATGCACATGGGAGTTAATGGGAGCAACACAGGCCCAGGAAGAGATTTAAATCCCCCCCAGTCAATGTATAGCTAATGTCAAGGAGGATTGGAAGCCAGGGTTCCAACTCGATATTCTTTAATCTCCACGCATGCGTCATTTGCTATTCGTGTCTGTATAATTTGTACGACTGCATGGAGAATGACCCGATACTCTCCAACAAAGCTATCGCTAGGTGATTGTTTTGCAGAATATCGGTGTTGTATTCTGGGAGCCAATCCTCCTTGGCTAATGTAAAAAATATTCTACCTAATACATAGTGAATGGGAGGGGGATGAACTCTTGTTCCGGTGTCTGTGGGGAGGTAAATAAAAAATTTGGGAACAAGAAAAAGTGTTCACATTGAGATTTGAGAGACAAGAGAAGTGTTCTGATAGTGATATACAGGTTTCACTGTAGTTAAATTATTATAACTAAATCAATGATGTAAAATAACTGATCCTTTTCCTTTCTCTTTTTTTGCAAAATACATCTTGTACTTGGCCTAGTTTTGCTTGTTTTGGGGCTTCAGATACCCAATCATCATTGACATGATGGATCCTACCATCATGTTGAACAATCAAATACACTGAGCATATAAGGGTAAACTTTTAAATACCAAAATGTATAAAAATACAAATAGAGAAAGAACATATAAGAGTGCCAACAGTGATAAGTAAACAAATCCCCACCATCCCAAACAAACATCTAGGAAACAAAGAAATAGTGTGTAACTCCCTCCTCCAGTCCTCACACCTTTTAGAATCACCACAATCTAAATCCACCAGACAATGTGATGTTTGATTCATACTGGGTAATATAAATTGTTCAATAGCTAAATGCTAAAATATATAAAATGGGTGTTCTTTCAGGGCTATCAAAATGCAAAAATGTGTTAATTCTTCAAAATGACAAATGTGGGTGAGTTCCAAACTTTTAGCATTTAAAAATAAGCATGAAAAGGAATGAATGATTGAGCCTAGGATTATTTGTAAATGTTGCTTTCTATCTCTGACACTCTCTTTAAAATAATCAAACAAAAGACAAAAGATAATTTATTTCAATTCATTTGTATTTTTCACTTTAAACAATAATTTAGATGAACAAAGTCATACAGTATTCTAAAATGTTTTTACACTAGAATATATCTTATAACAAACTCACAAACAACATTGGCAAGTTCCTGATTCTGTTGAATTTTGGTGTGTTTTAATTCTATCACTCTGACTTCTTTTGTGATTTCTAATCTTGTGACCAAAACCAAAATATTTTAAAACTGACCACAGAGTAATCCAATAATATCACCAAAAATTGATTGAATATTCCAGATGCAGAAATATTCATATTTTTATCTAATCAAATCAAAATGGGGGATGTCCCCTTGCCTTTTTCAGAATTACTGTCAAATAACCCTGAAAATCAAAGCATATTCATGACATAAATTCATAACTTATGGATTTTTATAAAACAGACATGACAAGGAATGACATGACCCTTTTGACCATATTAAAGGGTGACGCATATCGTTTAGCAAATCGAACGCTCGTTTCTGGTGTTGCTCACCGTTTAGTATAAAAGGCCCGATCCCGGAATAATACTCAAGGGTTCACAGGTTCGAGGTCGTTGTGTCAACACCTCTAACTGTTATATAGCATAAGTATATTATAGATCGTCACACATTTATAAAAGGGTGATTTTTATTTTGACAAATCAATTCCACATTTATGGGTAGTTTCAGGATCTTCTATTTGTGTATAATAAGGAAAAATTGGCATCTAAATTTCCCCATAACGTAATAGCACACAGCTTGGCATATGAAATATCCTACAAATGAAACAAAGCAAGACAAACCGGTTTCTAATACAAGAATTTATATTGGCTGTTGTACATGTATTATTTGAACGCAATCACTCTTTGGATAACGTTTTCAAAATCATTATAAACGGATTACTTTATCTCAAAGACAATTTCAATAAACTTGATTTTACAGAACTCCCCTTATTTCTTAAAATGGACTGATCCAGTTGATTCGCCTGGAGCCGCCATATTGTTTTTATACGGGATGCTAATCGGAACCCTTTAAAAATACAAAGTTACCCTCAACTCCTTTTCTATGTTTCCCGTAACTTTAATTCTTTGCTTTGTTCTACATTTTTTTGTTCTTAGGAGATAGAGGCCAGAGTTGAGTGAAGATTACAATTTTTCCTCTCACAATTGTTTGTTGCAGGGCAGTTTCCAAGTCAGTAAGATAATTCCACAAAAAATATTGACATTCTTGTATAATTCATACAGTATGTATGCTGAAAAAATACTTCACAAATGACTTGTACAAAATACATGTTATACCAGGTAAAATATGCCCTCACAACTCAAAAAGAAACGCTTTGCAAGCATATTTTTCAACATTTTGGGTAGTGAAACTTAAATTGTATTATACTTTGTAATGCTCAAGAACTCAACTTCTTACACTGATCTGCCTCCTTTAATTATGTTGTAATATAATTAAACCATCCATTTTTTTAGGAGCATGTATAAAATCCTCATTTATGATTAATAAAACATATAACATGCCAATTATCATGTTATTACACATAAACATACAGTATTTTAGTCACACACTATGAGTCATTCGTCATGATATGCACAATTCCATCAATCATACACTTACAGTGAATCATGATATGCACAATTCCATCAATCATACACTTACAGTGAATCATGATATGCACAATTCCATCAATCATACACTTACAGTGAATCATGATATGCACAATTCCATCAATCATACACTTACAGTGATTCATGATATGCACAATTCCATCAATCATACACTTACAGTCATTCATAATCTGCACAATTCCATTAGAAATACACTTACCATCATTTATTATGTGCACAATTTCATTAGTCTTACATTTACAGTCATTCATTATGTGCACAATTTCATTAGTCTTACATTTACAGTCATTCACTATGTGCACAATGCCACTAGTATTTTTTAACCCTTTTCTTGTTCAAATGGCAGGCAATGCAGACAATGAACATAATTGTGCGATAAATCAAAGCTGGTTGCCTTAAAATTTACCAAGCATGCCCAAAAAAAAAAAAATTTCTAGAACATCATCGAAATAACAATCCCTAAATTTTTTTAATTAATCAGCTTGGTTTGTGTTCTTGAAAGAGCACACAGCTGATGAAAATACATTTTGAGTATATAGGGGTATTGTCGGACACTGGCATTGTCAGACAATCTTCAATAATTTTTTGATTTATATGATTTCTTTAATGAAATTAAATTAGACACATCATTTTATTGATATGTTGATATCAAGGGTCTAACAATGCCCCAGGTTTTCACCTGATGCCAAGGATTTGTCTGACAAGGCACCATGATCGAGAATGCCCCTAGGTCCTCTATCATACCTTTTTAAAGAATTATTCTAATATCAAAGCCACTGTCCATTACAATTCAACCAATAACAGCTTGCAACATTTTTGCCATTGGTGATGGAATTATAAACAGATTCAGAGGACTCTTCTAAGTTCAGATCTACAGATCATAACCAATTAACAGACCAGTTCATTGTTGCAATCACATTTTGATATTCATCAGCCAATCCAATGTTAAAGTTAAATGTTAATTTGTCAATGTTTGTCAACTTAAATTGAATTGCTCATTGCATCGTTGTCTATAACTGTATAATGACACCTTTTTCTACTAAAATAAGCGAGACAGAACTTGTCGCGCAATGCACAGGGTATGAATAATCAAAAAAATAAAAATAATATTTCTACAGAAAACAATTATGTATCTCATTTGTATCATATGGACTCAAACTTGTATGACTGAATTAAAAACTCAAATGGAAATATTGCTGATTTCAGCTCAATGTCTTCAACTATCAATAAGTATAATAATCAAAACATCCCCTTTAATTCTCGAGGGAAATTGGTATGAGTGAAGTGAATTTTGACTATATGTGTACAGTAAGCATCTATTGGATTATTTATGACAGTGCTCGCTACTCAAAGGTTTCCGTGAGACCCCCATGGGGAATAGCCAGGAATTTGACACACAGTATTTCCTAGGGGTAGAATTTTTACATACTACTTCATATTGCTCCCAGAGTGGAGAAATGACACACTAGGTTGCTAAAAGGGAATGTGACAGCTCAATTTTTAACTTGTCAAAATCCTCAGCGCTTTTTACCTAGGGGATCTCATGTGAACCTTTAAATGGTACAATATGATTAGATAGGGAATAGAATGCCATATTATTTTACATTGATTTCAATATAATAGAACAAGGCACAGACGTGAACAACATTGTACCTAAAACACAGCAGTGTGACAGTGAAGAATTTAGGACGGAAAATCCAAAATGGCCACCTTAAAATTTATCCAGAATGCCCAAAAACTGTTCAGTTCTTAACTTTGATAGGTAGAAACATCCCTGAAAATTTCAGATGAATCCATCAAATGGTTTGGCTGGAAACCTGTAGACAAGTCTTGAAAGTGAAGATTTTAGGACGGAAAATCCAAAATGGCCACCTTAAAATTAACCCAGAATGCCCAAAAACTAATCAGTTGTTAACTTTGATATGTAGAAACATCCCTGTAAATTTCAAATGAATCCGTCAAATGGTTTGGCTGGAAACCTGTAGACAAGTCTTGAAAGTGAAGATTTTAGGACGGAAAATCCAAAATGGCCACCTTAAATTTTACCCAGAATGCCAAAAAACTAATCAGTTCTTAACTTTGATACGTAGAAACATCCCTGAAAATTTCAGATGAATCTGTCAAATGGTTTGGCTGGAAACCTGTAGACAAGTCTTGAAAGTGAAGATTTTAGGAGGGAAAATCCAAAATGGCCACCTTAAAATTTACCCAGAATGCCCAAAAACTAATCAGTTGTTGACTTTGATATGTAGAAACATCACTGTAAATTTCAAATGAATCCGTCAAATGGTTTGGCTGGAAACCTGTAGACAAGTCTTGAAAGTGAAGATTTTAGGACGGAAAATCCAAAATGGCCACCTTAAAATTTACCCAGAATGCCCAAAAACTAATCAGTTCTTAACTTTGATACGTAGAAACATTCCTGAAAATTTCAGATGAATCCGTCAAATGGTTTGGCTGGAAACCTGTAGACAAGTCTTGAAAGTGAAGATTTTAGGACGGAAAATCCAAAATGGCCACCTTAAAATTTACCCAGAATGCCCAAAAACTAATCAGTTCTTAACTTTGATACGTAGAAACATTCCTGAAAATTTCAGATGAATCCGTCAAATGGTTTGGCTGGAAACCTGTAGACAAGTCTTTAAAGTGAAGATTTTAGGATGGAAAATCCAAAATGGCCACCTTAAAATTTACCCAGAATGCCCAAAAACTAATCAGTGCTTAACTTTGATACGGAGAAACATTTCTGAAAATTTCAGATGAATCTGTCTAATGGTTTGGCTGGAAACCTGTAGACAAGCTGAAAAGTGAGACGCCGCCCACCAGCCCGCCCGCCGCCGCCCGTCAAGCTGACGACGTCGACAATATCGTACCTTTATTAAGGGTACGATAAAAAACACTTTAGTTTCATTATAATACTTCTTCAGGCTTATAATAGGGAGTTAAAGCTTGCATATATAATCAAAACGCCAACCTATACGTATGAACAATCGCCCATACAAATGCGTCGCTTGAATATGTTCCGTTCACGTTTAGGTTGTGAAAAACATTGCAAGCTTAAACTCCCCAATATACCGTACATGGAGAAATCTTTGAAATCGTTCCCTTATATAAAAGCACTCATCAATACACCTTTACATTGAAATTTTGATTTAGCTGCCTCATACTTTTAATGTAAACATAATATTAACTGGTTTACACTAAAATCCCATGTCTTTCCAATATAAAAAAAACTACAATATGGGAAAGCACCTATAATTTTGGAATGCATCCTGAAAGGTTATATATCAAGAAACTCATATAAGACAACCCATATGAGGCCATAAAAGTATAAGAGATCTTATATAAGCACAACATAAGGGCATATACAGGAATCCTTATATACAAGATCCAAAGGCCATACATATTAAAGATGTCACATATTGGTAATGCTGTATCTGTATTATACCATCAATATTACAAACAAAATATGCTAATGTGTCTATTAAAATTTACGATGCATTCCACCACAAAAATTACAATAACTTTACCATGGTTTGAGTTCATTTCTGGCTCTTTTGGCTCACATACTCATAATCTACTCAATCATTGTGGGATGGACAATATTTCCCATGGTTTGTTACATCAATCTGTTCACTGGTTAACTCAAATACTAAGAGGTGTTACTATGCACTATTTTAACTTAAATGCTTATCACCTTTAACACTAAGAATTGGATTCTGATCAAGATCTTACTTATAAAATACCTATTAGACTTCTCATAGGTTCTTTCATGAATATTACTCCTAAAATATTTAGTTTAAGGTTATAAATCTGTATAGCTCAACATAGTGAGGTGATGAATTTTCATTTAATAATTAAGTTTTAGGTCGAACATTTTTTGGTGTTTTTATTTAGTTAATAATGAATCTATAGCTCAATATAAAAGTCTTTTTAAATATCTGTTAACTTTGCTTTCAATTTTCTTGGATCTCTTTAACTGACAGTGAATCTGTATTAAAATTATTGACATTGAATTCTGAATTCAGATTACTGACACTGATTCTTAGGTTATTGATGCTGATTCTTAGATTATTGACACTGATTCTTAGATTATTGACGCCGTTTCTGAATTCAGCTTATTGACACTGATTCTGAATTCAGATTATTGACACTGATTCTGAATTCAGATTATTAACACTTATTTTGAATTTAGATAGTGACATCACTACTTAATTCAAATTAATATAATTGAATTTGATTTAAAATAATTCAATCTTAATTCTTATTTGAATTGTAACATCAATTCTAAATTCAACTTGTCAGGATCAATTCATGGCTTACAGATCCTCAGATTCTTTATTCAAATCATACACATCAATTCTGAATGTTTGCTGACTTGATTTTTTCTGATCCTTATTTAAATTAAGTAAAAAATAAATGAAATCACTGGACCATATTTTATTTCAAAAGAATTGACTTCAGAATTCAAAATTTCCATTATACTGGGGGTCATTAACAGAAACTTAGTAAAGTTACGAATTCGTAAATCAATTGTTGTAACCATGGATATAATGACATCACAGTTAGAGAACAATGGGTTTTACGAATTTTTAACTTTATGAAGCTTCTGTTAATGGCCCCCTGATTCTTAATTCAAACCATGTCTCACCTGACCTCCTGAACATTTAGGTCACTTATATGTCATGACATCACATATCATGACATGATTCATAAATGGAATCAACTAAAATCTACGGTACAAAAGCTGCACTAACAATTGGCAAGATTCTACACTATAGTGTGCAATATCCCCCATAACATATGTTACTTTTCAGGTATCTCTGCTGCCTTGGATTATTACTAAATGTAGAGTTTATTTAAGAATTTTCATACAGTAAAGCTGTGACATCACAATGTTATGTAATTGTTACACCCTTTATGCTGTTTGATCACCAACTAAAAATTTTACTTCCCATAAACATATGCTACTCTTCAGAAATCTCTGCTATCTTGGACAATAACTAAATAGTAGAGTTTATTTCTGAAGAATCTACATAGAGTTGGACTACAGTAAAGCTATGACATCACAATGTAGCAGTGTTATGTTATCATTATTATTAAATTATTACACCCTTTATGCTGTTTGATCAAAAATTGAGACTCTTCCTTGCTACAACTTGCTAGAAACGCCCCTAATCTTGGAAGAGCAGTGTTGCTCCTTTGTTGAGGTGTAACCACACACAGTCAGTTATATTAACAACATCAGACATCATGCTATTATTCACTAAAGCCATCTACTCTTCTGAAGTACATGTAGTTACTAATTACTAATGCTTGCTAGGTGACCAGTATGGTCCACATATTATTCCATACTTCTAGTTCAAATTCTAACAAGTGAAATCTGTTTTTAATTGAACATTTTGAGCCAGATATGTCCATGAGAAAACTTGAGTTTCTCCCTCTTATGAGTTCAGAAATTACTCATCGCTAAATATTGCTTCTCCTCCATGTGAAAACTTGAGTTTCTGCTAATAATGAGCCTAAACATTTCACATACTCCATGTAAAAAGTTGAGTTTCTCTTTCTAAAGAGTTTAATAATTACTCCTCCATGGGAAAACTTGAGTTTCTGCTAATAATGAGCCTAAACATTTCACATACTCCATGTAAAAAGTTGAGTTTCTCTTTCTAAAGAGTTTAATAATTACTCCTCCATGGGAAAACTTGAGTTCTGCTAATAATGAGCCTCATTTTCCATGTGATAACTTCTCCTAATGAGCCTAAAACATCCGTACAATATATCTTTTTTAATGTTTGCTAAAGAGACTTTCAGTTAAACTCTTAACGTAAGCTTCATGTAGTTTAGCCATGAAGTGTGGGTCATGTTTGATCATGTATATTAGGGCTTGTTGCATCTGTTCCTTTGTGAGAGGATTTAACTCTGCAGGGCCTCCTATAGATGGCACTGGGGAAATAGAGTCTTGACCTGAAACAAACAATCAGAGTATCCATCAACACAGTTTTGGCAAAGAAAGTTATATCTAAATTACAGGCTTGAATTAATAGTGTTTGGTGGTGTAGAGGAATAAAGTTATTTTTGTCTAAGTAGCTGTATCTTTCTAAAACCAAGCTATGACCTTGATCTGAGGTCAACAATTGTTCATGTAGTCAAGTAAATCACTTCTCCATGTGGACTGGGGATATTGTATACTTTGATTGGTTAATGACAATAAAGTATTCAGGCATCTACAGGGCGGTGTTATCCCCCTCTCTCCGAAGCATAAACTAGGAGAAGTGCACACACATACTATATACCATTGGAAAGAGCACTTAATTGTTGTTAAGTGTGAATAGATGAAGATGCACAATGACAAAAAACCTTACCACCAAGGTTAAAGACTGGCTTCTGTGTTGGTGCTTCACTAGTAGAAGCTGCTTGTGGCTTTGCTTGGAAAGCATCAGGGGTGATTAAAACATTTGTACTGGAACTTGCTGACAGTGACTGGAAATACAAGAAGAAACAATTCAGCTATCTGCTCCACAGCCCTGTATTCAGAGCTCTGCCAGTCGATCTTTAGCAACATAATTTTGCCAGTTTCTAGCCTGATAATTCAGAAGGTAAATAGATAAGTAATTCGTATGTTTTTAGCAATGTACAATTTTATTTCATCATTCAAGCATGACTTATTGAATATAAATTGAGAAATCTAATGAGAAAAGTCTGTGTTGCACTATTATCATATTTTTTATAAATCATAGAACTAAAATTGAAAAGCATCAACAGAGACATTACCTGTTTAGGGGGCATAGATCCTGCACTTACAGGAAGGGAGGTTTGACTAAGGGCCCCAGGGGTGACTAAGTTAAGCCCTTGTTGCTGGCTACTATATACATTAGACCTTGGTCCAGCCATTGATCCTGGAGTAATGAGCCCTTTTGAGATTTCCTTTTCAGCAGTTTTCACCGTACTGCTAGATATGGCATCAGAATATGCCTGAGTAATCTGCGTTCCATTAGGCCTAACTGAGACTGCAGGCAATGGCACAGTTTTATAATCTACATGCTTAGTGATAGTGCTAGGGTGAGGCGGGAGCATATTCAACCTGCGTTTTAAGTCAGTGTTCGGACTTTCAGGTATATCCTGACGTGGATCATGATTTTCGGAACTTGAAGATTTGACATTTTTTACGGCTTGTGAGGATGACCCCCGTTCAATTTCCTCTAAAGTTGCAGGTGTGGCACCATGATTTGACATAAGACCTTGTAAAAATTCTGGAATTCCAGGACCTGATACTGAGACGGGACCTGACACTGTACTTTTCGTGGCATCTTGAACGGAGTGAGATCTGGAAAAGACATCATACTAGCAATACAGGATATTATATTTTACATGTAAATGTATACATACTCTTCAGCATATTGAAGATTTGTTTAAAAAACAAGTAAACAACTGCACAAACTGTAAATCTATCAATTTTTTCATGTTGTTGAGTATATTCTATGGCATAACATGATTAATTTGATGTTGAAGATGTTGATAAAGCAACTCAAAGGCACATAAACATAATACACAAGATAAATTCAACAAGATTATAGAAACTGTACAAGAAGGCCATTTGTATGGTACTGGGTGTTTTTAAATCATGCAGAACTTAAATGTGTTGTATCATCTATACAAGGCATTAACATGCAAAATGTCACTGCCTGCCATTTATTACAGATACCAACATCCGAACACCAAACAAAAATGGACGAATGCAAGATGCAGAACACCAACTGCCAAACACCGTCCACATATAACGTTGGAGACTGTAACAATATGTCACCACTTGTGGTAGTGACATATTCTTTTGTATGACAAACCTATGTAATTCTGTGTGTTGACCTAAATCTGCTGCATTATGCTGATCTATACTGGCAGTTTTAAACAATGCTTCCAAACTAATAGCTGTATTAGGGGTCACTGGAGGTGCACTTGCTTGTCCGTCCCCTGTAATACAAACAGTCATTGCGGTACTTAAAAGTTGGTAAAAATACTATATTTGTCCAAATTATTTTGATAATTTGTTTGATCCTTGCAAGGGATTAGCTTACAAGCGAAAAACTCACTCAGTTCTTGTTTATCTTTTAAAAGTCCTTACAATTAAGGTAAATGTCAGTAAGCTGAACATCATGTGAAATCCGTAGTTTGATACCATTCTAATATATATCATACATGTCCAATTGTTGAGATGGTATTAGAAATGGCCAACAAGGCCAATAACTATGCATACCTTCACCCTCAAGATGTCCCAGGACTGCAGTAGGCTTGATGAGACTTGTCGCATGTTTTGTGGCTGCTGCATTGGGGTTATCTATCATAGGCTTGGGCTTGTCCTTCTTTACGGGTGTTGTACCACTTTTAGATGACTGGAAAATATGGTTATTTCTTGACTGACATATGCAATCCAAAAAGTCAGCTAAATATACGTAATTTTGAACTTATGATTGATTTACTAGCAAAATTTAGTATGGAAAACGACCTAATCAAAAATCAGGCATTTAAGCAGTTTTTAAAAAATTAAGGCAAATACCAGCATGACCTGTACTTTTAATGCATTTCTAGTTTGTGACGTTAAAAAATATGTACAGTAAACATCGTCCAAGTTAAAAAAGGTGGTCATATTTTAGAATTAAAGTGTTCAGGTCGTTACATTATCAACTCAGAAAGTATGTATATCAAACCATAAATTGTGTACACACTCATCCATATAATAACATAGTTTTGTAAATGATTACATGTATTTTGGCATTGCCCCATATTATTCCATGTTCACACTGACTGCTTGACTTTCAGCTTAACCGACTGTCAATAAAAAGGTGCTAAACACTTTGTCCTCGCAAGATGAAATCTACAATCCATCTCACAACATCATATTCATAAATTTTGAAAAAGCATATTTATATTATAAGTGCCTCATTAGTTATATATAATACTGAATGCAGCATGCATTTGAATGCATTGGGAGGTAAAGAAAAGCCTACAAGACAGGATTTACACTTGTTTACACTATACTAGTGCGTTATATTTTGTATAGTAGACTATATTCCATAAAAAAGTCAATATACCTTGTCATACTCATCTTGAGCCTTGCTCAGCATTTGTAAAATATCAACATTTTTCTCAGCGTTTGTCATTTCCTCCGGTGGCCTCTCTTTGAAAGTATCGCTCTCTGATGCTCGTCGTTGTCTTCCAGGCTCTGTGGGTGTCTTGTGGGCATCACTGGACACTTGAACCAAGCTTGAATTAAAAATTGTAGGTTAAAATTAGAAGCAGGAAGTACATACCCTTTCGCCATCTATTGAGAAAAACTTTATATTTAATACACAAAGGTTATACCTTCCAGAGCATTGATATAATTAGAACAGAATGCTCATTATTGGTCCTGGACAATGTTAGACATCTATTTATATCAAGAAGATATTTAAATCATTATCTCACTACAATCTAACCTTCTGCTCTTCCAAAGCTCTACCCTTTTCAAATGTGATTTTATTTATCCACTCTGAATAAGAGATAATCTTCTGACCAGCCTTTCTCAATCAGAAAAAGCTACCCAAACAGAACTGCAGTAACATTGCTCCATGCATTCAGATATTCATCACATATTTTAGTTTCACTATCAATATCAAGACTGGGAAGAAATGAGATGCCATTATTTATCATGAATCTTATGCCTTTGTAAGTAGCTATCGTCTAATTCATATTCAAGTTACCAAGAAGGCCATGACAGATGCATTTGGGATCAGTAAGACTTAACATCAACACCATATATTTATTTGTCTAACACAGAGGGCGAGTATTAATTAGTCTTTTATGTGAGCATAATCAGGGAGTATGTCACCCCTCTCCTCTTATACTTTTGTAAGAGGGGGGGTGACCTATTCCTCGTGTTAGTTGTTTATAGGCAGAAAATGTAATGTCATGATTTTCTGACAGAATATTCTGATTGGTTACAGACCAAAAAATTATACCTAGTCCTATGAGAAGAGATTAACTCCAGTTCTTGCGAAGAATACTTACAAAAGATAAATTACTCTAAACAGGGAAAGGCCTGCTCTTTTCGTTGTTTTGTTTACCATTCACTTCAAGCAAGTGAAACTTTATTACATAGCTTCATATTTCTTTCCACGCTAGATGTAATGTCTCTCACCTGTTCATTAACTGGCCGATTCTGGCACATTCATCTTTATCATAGAACCAGATACCATAGATCTCTGAAAACAAGAATACAAACATACATATGAGATCTAGAGCTGTCTCTACACAGGTATAACATTCAGTCTCACACATAGGTCTTTCATTATAATGTGCAATCTGATAGACATGCATATAAGCAGTTTTTAATTATGAGATTTTATCTGTTGTTTATATTAAGTTTTTAAAACTAAAATTATTAAGTCAAAAATAAAAATAAATTTTATTGTTACTTTGAATAAAGGACGATTCTCGGTTTGGAGAACGAAGTTCATCAATATAAATGAGCATTATCCCTGCTTCGGACAAATTTGATTTTTTTACATAATATAGAGTTGAAGGTCTTCTTTTGAATGGTCATAATTTAATTTGGGTAATATTTCTAGATTTTTCGCAAAAAAATATTAGCGCAGTATACTTATGAACTTTTTTCCCCAAATCGAGACTTGTATTTTATTGAATCGGTCTAATTGATCGTTATCCCTGCTTCAGACCAATTTGTTATTTTTACATCTTGTAGATTTAAATGTCCTCTTTTGAATATTCATAGTTTAATTTGGGTAATATTTCTATATTTTTCATGAAAAAAATTATTAGCCCAGGAGACTGTTCTCCAAACCGAGAATCGTCCTTTAAACTGGAAAGGTAATAAAATCAGGGTCATACACTTTTACATTTTTCTGTTTATGGCCTTGAACATAAACAAATTGTTTGAGATTACAAATTTTCAATTTATTCCTAAATCGTCTTCAGGCAAACTGAATCAGAATATGAATATGATATAATATAACTTCTTGCTTTGCCCAGCTATGTTTAACATTGTTACATTTATAAGACTAAGATCGGATTTAAATGTCAAAATATCTATTATACTTGCTTAAGGTGTCACTTAGTATTAACATAGCATTACGAAGTAATACACACTAAGCCTATACCAAGTGCGTAATATATGACAAAGTATGATGTCACAAAACCATGAATGACACTAGCTGGTTTTATAGTATTTAATCTGATGAGCAATATATTGGCATAATTAAATGATATGAAATGTCAATGACAGAATAAAAAGCTTACTTGATGCATTTTTATAGAGAAGAAATGGGTCCTGAAGTTGAAACTCTAAAGCTTTAGTTATTGGCTCAATAAGATTGTTCAAGCCTAGTCTGTTAAGTATCATGTAACCGTTGATGGGGGCAGCTGATCTGAAAAACATAATTCAACATTTTTTAAATGTTTATACATAAGATGTCTTAAGCATAGCTTTTTCATAAATTGTAAATGGTAAAATCACATCTGCATCACATCTTTATTTCTAGTGGCACAAAATGCCACATCTGTATTACATCTGTAGACCTGAATAGCAAAAAATGCAACATTTGAAGCATATTTTCCATGAATCAGACACCACACTGAATTTGTAACACATCTGCATTTCTGAAAAAATCCCACTGTTTAGTTAGACTGCATAGTACTATTGTAAAAAATATAATACAAAAACAAAAAACAAAAAAAAGATTTCTCCCAATTGAGGCAAAATCAAAAGCCAGGATCAATGATACCAATTACCAGTATAGTACAGACATAGGCACCAGTAAAATAGATATGAAAATTAGCTCAGACACCTTTTCTAGAAGACATTCAACATTTTGACTTTAATGAATGTGTCTAGATGTCAAGATGTAACAGTTTAAATGACTTTGGATATTGGTAGACTCCTTAGAGATATGGCCAAATCAGATATCTTGTAAGCAAGTCAATCATTGATCTTTTTATGCAACATTATCTGAGGTATGGGAGTCACTGGCACTAATTGCTCCGATAGAACTTTTCTACAAAGATTCTTACATGGTCAGTAGCTTATAAAATTCAACTTCTTTTCTCTCCGAAATTCAAAGAATCACTTTTCTTGAATAAAATCTCTGATCAGCCCCCATCAACTAACAGCCCTACATGAGAGATTGAATGAAGGTAGCAGTACTGGGGCTTGATTGATGCTATATCATGACAAAGCATTAACATGCAAAATATCACCACCTGTCATTTGTTACAAACACTGACTGCCAAACACCAACCACCAACTGCTAAACACCATCCACAAAAAGTTGGAAACTATAATAACAATATGTCACCACTTCTGGTAGGTAGGTACATAAAAACGCACTCTTCATGTTTATATCATTAAATACACCCCAAGCCCATTTCATGGACTTATTTTCATCTCTGTAACTATAACGTCCTATTATCCAATATATTCATGTGATTTATATGAGCAATTTCATAACCACTTTGCAAAAGTGATTTTCAGGACAACTCATTTACATCTAAGGAAGACTAACCCATCCTCAATTCTATTTGCAATTTTTCATCCCTTTCAATAAAAGCAATTACTTTGATAGAGACGATAGAACAAATGCAACAAACACTTTTGCATAATCTGTTATATTATATAGTATGAGGGCTATAGCTGGTCATAACTCTACAAGAATACCACTGACCCTAAGGCAGTTTTGGTAAAATCGGAATCTTAGAGTTAAAAAGAAATCTATAGCCTTTGGGATCCCATATTTATCTCAAGATTTTCTAGATCGATAACCAATAAGTTTACTGATCACTGGTTAGATCAACTCAAAAGTGATGTCTATAGCTGGAGGGGGTTATCTTAGATAAATATGATCACACTTTGTGAAAAAGAATTCTATAATACAATAAATAAAAAATGGAGGAAAGGTATAAAAATGTGTGATGTTTTTGATTGCAATAATACTTTTTTAAACAGATATATTTTGTAAAGGTGAATAAAAATGTAAATAAGACAGGTGCTTGCTGAAAAGGAAGAAGTATCGCTTTTCTCTCTATGATACCATCAACCTCACTTCAGATATATTTCCACAGCAACCAGACACCATCAACCGTTACCATAGTAACAAGCATCATCATTGCCCCTAATGTAGCTTTTTCAGCTGGAACCCGGAGCTGACAACAGAAATTAACACTTGAAAATAAACAAGCTAGAGTGGCTGTCTAACTTCATGGTGCAGCCCAGATATATTATGTCTGTGTTCTTTCCGTGCAATGCTTGCACTTGGAATGTAGATTTATATATTGAAATGGATATGAAAGAATATAAGGTAGCTACTTGTTGCTTGTGTACCCTAAATATGCAGGATGGCCACTTGTTGTTTGTACACTCTAAATAAGCAGGATGGCAACTTGACTTGTTGCTTGTATACCCTAAATATGCAAGATGGCGACTTGTTGCTTGTACACCCAAAATATGCAAAATGGCTACTTGTTGCTTGTATACCCTTAATATGCAGGATGGCCACTTGTTGCATGCATGGTATACCCTAAATATGCAAGATGGCGACTTGTTGCTTGTATACCCTAAATATGTAAGATGGTGCTTTAATGCTTGTATACCCTAAATATGCAAAATGGCTACTTGTTGCATGCATGGTATGCCCTAAATATGCAAGATGGCGACTTGTTGCTTACATACCCTAAATATGCAAAATGGTCACTTCTTGCATATATACCCTAAATATGCAAGATGGTGCTTTGTTGCTTATATACCCTAAATATGCAAAATGACTACTTGTTGCTTGTATACCCTAAATATGCAAAATGACCACATGTTGCTTGTATACCCTAAATATGCAAGATGGTGCTTTGTTGCTTGTATACCCTAAATATGCAAAATGACTACTTGTTGCTTGTATACCCTAAATATGCAAAATGACCACATGTTGCTTGTATACCCTAAATATGCAAGATGGTGCTTTGTTGCTTGTATACCCTAAATATGCAAAATGACCACATGTTGCTTGTATACCCTAAATATGCAAGATGGTGCTTTGTTGCTTGTATACCCTAAATATGTAAAATGGCTACTTGTATACAGCATTGTGATTGTGAACACAAAAATAAACACTCATTGCTTGAATAAGGGAGACTTAATACAAGTTTGTCCTCATGTTAACCATGTTGATGTAAATTAAAGTTAAGATTTATTATTCAAATTAATAATTCAGTCTAAAAAAAACATATATAACCTATAAACCATATACATGTATAACCTATAAACCATATATATATAACCTATATACCACATATGGATTGAGACTAATGAATAAGATGTTACATCTTACAAACATAAATATATAATTATCCTATACAGTAAATGTCAACCAAATTAAATGACATATCTCAACATAAAAACCTAGGAGGGTTAAAAAATGTTAAAGTAAGTACAACTATTACCATATACACGTGGTATACTGTTAGCACGCTATAGGATCATATAGGTGATTTTATTTATTGAGCATAACAACCTTGTCAAAAGCAACATTTTCTAAATAAAATAAAATTGTGCGTTATATGAATATGTTTATTCGCTTATGAATAAAGGGAGCATATACACAGAAAGGAAAAAATAGTATATTAAAATAGTCTAACTTGACACAGTTGACTGCATTTGCTATTTCATACCACATGTGCCAAGCCTGCACTGAAGTTTGCATAGCAGAGTATAACACAATCATTGGATTATATGTAAAAAACATATGACTTTTGGAAATGTGAATCATTGGATATATCAAACAAAAATGCATCACAGAAAGGATATTTTACCAGCATCAAAATGTAAGTATGGCTACATCTTAAATTAAATACAATGGCTCAGACTCATCAAACTGGGGCAAATAAAGTTGTTTATCATGGTTTGAAAGGAAAGAAAGTCATAAAAAGAAGGTCAATTTCTATGCCAACCAAAGATTGACCAATGCTAAGTGTGAAGCAAAATACAGTTAGTTCAGTCTGATAATACATGTAGACTAAAGTCGTTCAATCAATCTTTTTTTATTTCAATTCATTCAATTCAATTCACTTTATTTCAAATGTTTCAAATACAGTGTTTTACATTGACATGAAAAGACACCCCGAGGGGTGTATAAGTTCCATGTTTAACATACAATATAGCATTTATTAAATTAACAGTCAGGTTATATGGAAACAAAAAAAATGACAAAGCATAAGATGCATCACAATAAAATACAAGTGATGAGAAGAAAGCATTTTTCAAAGAAGATCTAATAATGACTTAGCAAATCAAACTTTAACTTTCGTTCAAATGATTTGATATGTTTAGACTTTTTGAGATCAAGTGAAAGAGTATTGTAAAGTAATGGGCCACTTGTTTCAATTGATTTTCTTCCAATTTCTGTTCTGAATTTTTTTACAGTTAAATTCTTATTAATTCTCATGTCATGATTATGAATTGCTGTTCCTGGAACAAATAAATGTTTGAACTTTTGAAAAGGAAATTCTGGTGATTCTGAAACAGTTTTCTGAACAAAGCTAGCGGTTTGTAGTTTATTGATGTCAAATATATTCAATATTTTCAGTTTTGAAAAGAGAGATCCTGAAGGAGCCAGACGATCAGAATAAGTGATAACTCTCAAGAATTTCTTTTGCAGAACGTACAATTTTTGAATAAGAGTTTTTATGGCATTTCCCCATAAAAGGTTACAATAGCTTAAGTAGGAATATATCATGGAATAATAGATAGTGGTCATTGTATTTAAAGTCAGTCTATGTCTAGTCTTGTAGAGAAGGCCTATCAAGTTAGAAATTTTTGTACAGATAGCATTTATGTGAGATGACCAATTCAGCTTTGAGTCAATAATGACACCTAGAAAATTGATTTCTTTAACTTCGTCTATAGGTTGTTCATTAATTTTAAGAACAATATTGTTTTTATTAGGATCCTTCTTTTTATTAAATATCATATATTTTGTTTTTTCAACATTAAGAGTTAATTTATTAGATTTCATCCAGTTAGAAACATTTTTTAGTTCAGCATTCATATCTGAGACTAGAGTTTCAAAATTTTTATTGGTAAGTAGGATATTAGTATCATCAGCATATAAGACATATATATATATATATTTTTACCGGATCTATATCTAATATCTGTAGTTGTAAATTGATCAATCAAGACATCTTTCTTAACAATTTCTGTGACCATAATTCGATTTTCGAGATAACTTTTGAACCAGGAAAGAGCTGTTCCACGAATACCATAGAATTCAAGTTTTTGTAATAATATTTTGTGATCCACTGTATCAAAAGCCTTAGTCAAATCAATGTATATCCCAATGCTAGTTTCCCCGATATCTAATGACTTACGAATATTTTCAATGAA